CCCGAAACCACAACCCTAAACCCTAAACCCTAAACCCTAAACCCTAAACCCTAAACCCTAAACCCTAAACCCTAAACCTCAAACTCTAAACTCTAAACCTTGCATGGCTTTGCCGCGAAACCCTCACACAAGACGCCTAAACCCTTACCCCTCCTCTTAAGCCTACAGCCTTCTACCCTTCCTAACCTCCTGAACTCTAAACCCTAAACCCTAAACCCCAAATAAACCCTAAATTCCTAGAACCCTTTCTAAAGCATGTGCCCCCATGACCCTGTGTTCAAAACACCCTGCAAAACCCTTCAGGGCCTAGGCATTCTCTAGACAAAATCCAGCCTTCAACCCCAAACCCTAAACCCTGAACCCTAAACCGTAAACCATAAACCCTAAACCCTGAACCCCAAACCCTAGATCCTAAACCCTAAACCCAGGCCCTAAACCCTAAACCCTAAATCCCGAGATCGCCCTAAACCCCAAACCCTGACCCCAACCTGCGACCGACCTCCCACCCACCCCCTAAACCCTAAACCCTAAACCGAAACCCTAAACCCTAAACCCCCCCCCAATGCGCCTGAGTTGAAGCGGCTTCTGCGGCGGTGCCGGAGCCTGTTGCCCCTGTGCTCCGAGGCATCTTTCGGATTTAGGGCTTAGGGCTTAGGGTTTAGGGTTTAGGGTTTAGGGTCAAGGCTTTGGGCTTAAGGTCTTAAGGTTTCAAACTTTAAGGGTTCGTTTTTTTGAGGGGACAGATTGGAGTTATGTGCCAACGCAACTTGAAGGAATTCTGGGTCTGGGGGTTGAGGGTTGAGGGTTGAGGGTTGAGGGTTTAGGGTTTAGGGTTTAGGGTTTGGGGTTTAGGGTTTGGGGTTTAGGGTTTAGGGTTTGAGGGTTTAGGGTTTGAGGGTTTAGGGGTGGACCACGCCGCACCTTCGCCAGCCTCGTCTGTGTCAAGCATGTCTCCAATGCGCCTGGGTTTAGGGTTTAAGGTTTAGGGTTTAAGGTTTAGGGTTTAGGGTTTAAGGTTTAGGGTTTAGGGCTTGGGGTTTAGGGTTTAGGGTTTAGGGTTAAAGGTTTAAGGTTTGGGGTTTGGGGTTTGGGGTTTGGGGTTTTGGGGGGAAGGTGTTGGGTGCTTTCCCCAGGCTGGGAAGTACAGCTGCTCTGGTGATCCCTCCAACTGAGGGGAACCCCTTCCATCACTGAACATTCCATACAGCACTATGGCATGGCCCTAAATCCTAAACCCGAAGCCCTAAACCCTAAACCCTAAACCCTAAGCCCTAGCTTCATGGGGGGAACTTAACAAGAGGGGGGGGGGGGGGGGGGTGAAGGGAGGAATAACCCCTGAACTCTAAGGAGACCGCAGGGAGAGGGAGTTTCCGCACCATCCCAAGGTCACGATGGCTTAGGGTTTAGAGTTTAGAGTTTAGGGTTTGGGGTTTAGGGTTTAGGGTTTAGGGTTTAAGGTTTAGGGTTTAGGGTTTAGGGTTTAGGGGATAGGATCCCCTTCCGAACAGTTTCTTTGCTTGTAGGGGGCTTTTTTAGGGCGAAGGCATGCTTCAGCGAACCTTAAGCCGTAAGCCCTACTATATGACCTAAGCCCTAACCCTCAACCCTAAACCCCCAACCCTAAACCCTAAACCCTAAACCCTAAACCCTAAACCCTAAACCCTAAACCCTAAACCAAAGACCCCCGACAAAGATATCCGACAAGCATGCCGGCAGCGCTTGAAGAATTGCATCGCCATCCCGTGGTGTTGGTATCGGAGAGGCTCCGAGAGGGTCGCTGATGGTCCCCTAAACCCTAAACCCTAAACCCTAAACCCTAAACCCTAAACCCTAAACCTTTTGGGGGGCCTGAAGGCTTCGTGTGCAGGCTGCCAAAAATTTCAGGCTCCGTGGTGTACCAAAGGAAACCAAAGGACCATAATCTTGGGCCTTGGGGGGGGCAAGGCTCTCCGAAACCCTAAACCCTAAACCCTAAACCCTAAACCCTAAACCCTGAACCCTGAACCCTGAACCCTAAACCCTAAACCCTAAACCCTAAACCCTAAACCCAACCAAAAAAGACCGTGACTTTGGCCCTCTATGGACTCCATGGGTCTGACTTGAAAGAGCAGCTGCGATATTTGGATCAGCGCGTAGGGTCTTGGGGTTTAGGGTTTCGGGCTAAGGGTTTAGGGTTCGGGGTTGGGTTGAGGGGGCCCTGGGGAAGTAGTCTTGTGCTTCTGCTTGTCCTGGGTTAGACCGTCTGCGCCTCTTTTGTAATAGCAACGCATTACTCGTAATATGACCGAGGCGCCCACCTATGCATATCTATACTGGACTATATGCACTATAGTTTTGTGCACTATAGATATACACAATATCTATATCTATATATATATATATATATGCTAACTATATTATACAAAAGCACCCCGACACCTTCGCATCCAAGCATGCAATTGAGATACTAGCAGATGCACGCAACTGACTGTTTGAGCACGCCTGGATGTTGCGAGCGTGGGTGAAACTGCGCTGGCTGAGCAAGACGATCAACTGCGCATCGACCTGCGCGTGCCGCAAGTTGACAGGTCGAGCCGATGAAACCATGCTTGAGCAAGAGCCGATGAACCGGATGTATGCTGTCGGCCGCATGGGTGAAGCATGGGTGAAGCTGCGAAACTGAGCGACTGAATGAGACCTCGGATCGCAAGGGTGTGTTCTGCAGATGATATGTCATTATGTGTGCACGGGAGCTCTGTACCTCAGTGGTACCCGGACCCCCGGGATCTGCGCCTGGCTACAGCTGAAGCAGCGAGGGCCGTGTCCTCTTGGCTGTCCGCTGCAGCAGCGAAGGGAGTGAGTGCGAGGGAGAGCGCCCCCCCCCATCTCACCGAACATCTGTCTCACAGACAAAAGAACTCAACGAATGGAGTCCCAGGGCAAACTTGGGGGCCCATCTCACGCTTGAACGTCTCGTAAGCCCTTCCAGGACTTTGACAAGCAATATCGCGCGACGAGGTGTGGGATTGGCTCCTTTCGCGCGACGTTGTGTGAGATTGGCTCCCACCTCCTGTGTCAGTTCGGGCAACCCGGTTTTCCCCAAAGCACCCGCAACCATGGCCAGAGCACGGGCCACAGCTGAAATGCCAACTCCTACTTCTGAAGCCAACTTTGGGCAGCGCCAGCGCTGACGCACATCGGCGGGGCAAACAGATCCAGAGGAAGGGGGCGGGCCGTCGGATCTTGCCAAGGAAGGCAGGCCATGAAAGTAGTCTGGCACAGTGCTCGGGTGGCTTCCTTCGTAGATCACACATACTGGGCAAGGAATGTATTCAGAGCTGCAGAGAGCTGTCCTCTGCAAGGCTCACAGCCTCCGGCACTCGCTTTTCTCGCTTCTCATCCGTGCATGCGGCTCACCTGTGCTACTCTTCGGCAGACGCAGGACACAGCAGATGCACGGGAGATGGTGAAGATCAGGCGGGACTCGAAATCGCGACATCCTCTGTGTGGCAGCTTCAAGGCAATACCACTACCATGTTGTTGTAGCAGCTCCAGCCGTGCGGAACTTTGGCATGCGACGGCTGCGTGGCTGCGTGCTTCGAACAGCGAGGAGTCGACATGAGCAGACTCCTCGGCACTGAGTCTTTGTCCGACTGGCTCGCAGTGAGGTTTTGAGGACCCGAGAGGCCCTAGAGACACAAAACTTGGTGGCTCACAGCTGCTCTGGTTAGTGATGTGGCGCTCCGTGTCCTTCGGATCTGAAGCGGGCTCGACTTTGTTCTTCAGATGAAATTCATGCCCGCTCGGACCTGCAATGTTGCACTTTCAACGTCCCCGCCCCAGGCAGACTGGCATTTACCTTCTCCCCAGCATAAAGACCACACACTGCCAAAGACCAAATCCCCAATGAACGGCGTGGGACCATTAAGTGCGAAACGGCCCCCAGACAGAGCTGCGTCGCCTCCGCCATGGAGCCTTAGCAACTAGTTCATTGAAACCTTCTGGCCTCATGGAACCAAGTTTGATGCCCAAATGTCGTGTGGAAGACAGAGCTGGCGTTGAACTGTGTCGATCGGAAGATCGTGCACGGAGGGCAGGGTCGCTCAGTGTGAAGGTCAAGAGCGGCTATCAGAAAGACAAAGGCGACAACTCTGTGCGAAGGCTCGGTCTCTGGGAGGAGGGATCGACGAGAACACGCCAGGCCCCCACCCAACCCTGCAAGAGGAAGCTGCACCCGTGAAAGATCGACCCAATGGCCCAGACCAAGTCCCCAAGGAACGGTGTGGGACCATTAAGTGCGTAATGGCTTTCAGACAGAGCTGCGTCGCCTCTGTAAGAGAGAACGGTTCGAAATGGGAAGGGTCGTGGTTAACCGGTTCCCAATGGGAGCCTTAGCAACCTGTTCATTGAAACCTTAAGGAACCAACGAAAAAAACACGTCCTTGACTTCTGACGCATGCGTGTGTGCGCCTCGACCATGCCTACAAGACACATGTTCGAAGGATCGACCTCCTACGACTCGCGCCGAGTTTTTGTAAACTGAGAGGAAGAGGGCTGCAAGCAAGGGCTGCGCAAGACCTCTGAACGTTCACCTTGGAATGCACATGTGGCCTCTGTGAGTACGAAAACGATTGCGGTTTGCAAACACTTGAGAAGCCCTTTTGTGAAATGGCAGCAATCCGTTCCGACGCCGGCGCTAACTTTATTGCAGTTTGAAGCTGAATTTTTCAGCACCCAAACCTTTCCTCAGCGAAGCTGCAGTGCCTAAAGTTCACTTTGCCAACAGCTCTGACAGGCCATTCTGCATCAGTGCTGCCACTGAGTGCCACGTTTCGACGGCTGTTCTGACCTACTGCAGTCATGCAGTCGCGCCCCCGGTTCTGCCAAAGACGTTGCCGCGCAGCCTGTTTGTGTAAGGCGTGGGAAAGACGAGCCGTCAGCTCCAGCGGGGCCAAGCGAAGCTCAAGCCCACGTTTGGGCTTCTGCAGCCCGAGGTAAGGGCAGGGGCAGCGGAAGGCGCAATGGAAGGCAAAGGGGCGCAGAAGGCACAGAACTGGCAAAAATCATCAGCAAAGCTTTATGGCTTCGTGGTCGAAGCTGTTCGGGTCCGAGCATCCGAGCTGTCTCTCTTGCTCTCACGCTGCCTGCGCTTGGAGAAAGTGATTGGAGGGCTTGTCGCGGCGCAGCGGTCGAGGACTTTGGCCACCAACGTCAAGAAAACTGCCAGGCGATGCGACCAAAAAGACTCAGCGAATCTGCCGTACCTGAAGTTCACTTTGCAAGAAGCTCTGACAGGCCATTCTACATCAGTGCGGCGTTTCGAAGGTTTTTCTGACCTTCTGACCTACTGCAGTCAGGACTCTTCGAAATACCCATCCGCTGCTCAGGCACATCGCTCATCAACAGGTTCTGATCCCGCAAACAGGACATTTACCTGTGGACTTCGCCATGGTTTCGAAACGGTTCTCGCCTCTTCGCAGATGTTGAAGAGCCAGCGCTTCGTATTGAAGCCTTAGCAACTCTTCAAAACTTTATGGAACCAACGAAAAAACACGTCCTTGAATCCCCACCATGCTAGACCTGGGGGGCGGGTAACCCGAGACCCTGACTTCCTTAGATTCTTGAAAGGCTCAACTCGAGCAGAGCCCAGATGCGCTGAGAGAAGGAAGGCTCCGAGGGCTGCTACCCAGTTGACCCTCGGAATGCGCACGTGGCCCCCCATGGTCCCAGGGAGCTCATGTCGGACTTGGTCTGCGGAATTTTGGGTCACCTTGCCCGGCCTAGCTCGCGCAGGACCCGTCGCTTTACCAGGGCTTTTGTGACGGGAGAATGGGCATCGCATTTTTTGGTCCGTCACTTTTCAGGGGCTTTCGGACATTTGGCTGCAAATGTCCTCCCAAGGTTACGCCGCTTTTACAGAAGTTTTGACCCTTGCGCATCATTGTGCGTGTGAGGAGTGCAATGCTCGGGCATGACGGTTGCCTATGGCTCCTGGCTGGCAGAATTTTCTTTATTCCGTTCCAGCTGGATCCAGCTGGATCCAGCTTGGACAGGCCACCTTAGCAGGAGCAGGATTAGGGGCGTGCCACACCTCCTGAACCCTAGACGCTAAGTCCTAAACAAGCCTTCAGTGGTTAGCTGCTCTCGGCGAGGGGACGCTCCAGCGAGACAGGTCCCTGCGGTTTCTGCGGTCCCCCCGTGCTCTCTGTGTCTCTCAGCAACGAACGCTGTGCAACCAAACCTTCTCCAGGACCACTTCAGGGGACAACGCTGCCACCACTACCTCGCTGGCTGAGGAGTTCAGAGTGCGAAAACGGCCGCGGGTTCGGGCATGAGTGGCGTAAGGAACGGTACCGGAAGCTGCTTTCTGTCCGGAAAAAAAGACGTGGTCTTGGACTTGTGAGCAAGGGACTGTTCACTGTCTTCCGGCTTGTGCTCAGCCAGGCCTGTGCGCAGACGTCGCGTGAGGGTTCGAAGCGCCTTAAGCCAGCCTCATCACAGCAGAACTTGTGAGTCTTGAGGGCAAGATATGGTACCACAAAGGACATCTGGCAGCCTTCAGAAACCGCTGACGCGGCAGTCTGGCCTGGGAAAATGCAGCAAACATCAAGGACCGAAGGTCAACGACCGGGTGGGGCCGACTTGGACGCGAAAGAAAGAGGGCCGAACGAACGGAGCAGCCCACGATGTCCCAAGACAGAATCCTGGAGCCCAACATCCCAAGCCGACAAACCTGGATCGCTCACGGAGCCGTGTAAGAGAAGTCTGACCAGAAAAATTCAGGCTGCGCTGGGTCAGCCGTCGGGACTGGGAAGCACAGCAACCATCAAAGACCGTTCGGGGCCGACTTGGACGCGAAAATGGCTGCACGTCATGCACGCTGATGCCAGAACACTCGTGAGCAGGCTTGAATCCTTCCGAATCCACTGGCTCAGATGTCTAGACTGGAAATGGCTGCCCGTCATGAGCAAGCTCGAACTGCATTGTGCGTGTGTGCGCAAGTCAGAACAAATGGTTGCTTCTCAAATTCGGGGGTCCGTCAGCCGGCTCTTTGACAGCGGGGTAGGGCTGTCAGCTGTCGCGGCTGTCGCAACAACTCTCTATCGCTGGACAGCGACAACTCTAACGCTATGGAAAGACTGCAGAAGAGCGCACGCAAGTCGCGAAGATTAGTTCTTCCCCTAACTTACCTGTGCCTTCGATGCACCTTGTGTAAAACTGGCAAAGCGTTCCCAGAAAACAGATGTACGAGTAGGGCAGGGGGGGGGGGAACTTGGCAGCACACAGGACATCTGGCAGCATTCTGTGCTCGATTTCGGAAGCTAGCTCACGGGCGAGATGTCCTCCGATGTCAAAACTTGCAGGGCAGCAACAGAAAAGCCTGAGTCCAAACCTTCAGAACCCAGTGGCTCGCATGTCTGGACTGGGAAGCGTAGCAAGCATCAAAGACCAGCCAGGGCCGACGTGGACGCGACAAAAACTGCACGTCGCATGCGCTGACACCAAGACAGTCGAGGGCAGGCTCGAATTGCAGCGGCCACCAGGAGTATGGATTTCACTGATTTCACTGCGAACTTGCGCTGGGACGCCTTGCCTGCTGACCTAAGCGGATGTGTCGAAACGGCGGGGAAGATGCGGCAGCGTGCAAGGACGCCTGGCAGCAGGGTGCGCTCAGTGTCGGAAGCGGCTCAGAGGCGAGATATCCTCCGACGTCGAGAACTCACCGAGCCGCGCAAGAGAAGTCTGAGTCCAAACCGTCCAAACCTTCAGAGTCCGCTGGCTCCGCTGTCTGGACGGGGAAGTGCAGACAAACCATCAAAGACCGGGCGGGGCCGACTTGGCTGCGAAAATGGCTGCATGCCAGGCGCGCTTGCGCCAAGACCTTGAGACTAGCCGGCATGATGCTCATGCGCTCTGGGTAACATCTGTTCAGTGGACGGCGCCTGTATGCAGGGGCATGTGCAGCGCAGGACACAGCAGGCGTCTTTTTCGCCTGGATTGCCCTCAGGGTTAGTCTGGAGGTTCTCATGTACGGCTAAGATGATGGAGTGATGTGTGGATATCCAACGTTCAAGGAGATTCACTTCTAGTGCAGCAGTGCATGCGGGATTGCACTACCGTTCTTGTCGCAATTGCAGACCCGGGACGGTGTGAGTGATTGGATGCAGAATGGTTTCACCCTTTTCCGTACAGAGTGAGCTTCTACGAGAACCAGCTTACCTGAGCGAAGGGTTTACCTACAGAGAAACCGTAGGAACCAGTTTTCACCCAGTTGCAAGGAAACTCCAAGTGGAGTGCACTACGAGGCCATCACACAATACCATATTGAGGAGGGAATGAGCTGTAGTGCAATGAGATGATGTCAAAGAGGCCAAAACAATCAAATGTCTTCAACCTTTTGTTGCCAGCCGGCTCCAGGACAGGTGCACGAAAAGTCGCGCAAGACAGTGTATGGAACTACCTGCGACATGGTCCCCGCAGTGAAGAAGGATGAGAGAAGCCTGGAAGAAGGAGAGGCGGCAAACTTGGCAAGATTGCGGCGCATCATCATTGCCTCGGTCCTTCTCGTACCTCCACGCTTCCACAGTCAGACCCGATTGAGAGATGCAAAGAGGAAATCCGACATGTTGATGTCAGGCCTTGGACATAGCGGATCGACTCTGCCTGCTCTGGATCCCTTTTCGCCTGTCAGCAACAGCCGTTGTAGCGGGAACAGGATGCAAGACAAAGCACGATCAAAAGCAAACTGACAGTGACTATGCTCTGCCTGGGGAATCCAGTGCGAAGATCCAGCCTGCTACATGAACCCCGTTACTGTGGCCCGTACACCCGAAACCCCAAACCCCAAACCCTAAACCCCAAACCCTAAACCATAAGCCCAAACCATCCCAAACCCTAAACCCCAAACCCTGAACAGTTTAGTTTAGGGTTCAGTTGTATTGTTGAGACCGAATGAACTAGACTAAAATGACTAACAAAATGAACCCTTGACCCTGAACCACCCTAAACCCTAAACGGCAAACCTTAAACCGTAAACCCTAAACCCTCAACCCTAAACCCTAACCCCTAAACCCTAAACCCTTGATTGAGACCTCAAGGCCCTCCGCACCCGGAGGATGGACGTCTTCCCCGCAGCCACTGGGGCTGATGACTCGGACAGGCTGGCCAGGACCTTGTTTGGGTTTGTAGGGTATAAGCCCCCTAAGTCCCCTAAGTAGGTTATAAGTAGATTCAGAATTGTGGTTATACGTACCCATGCTCCAAGTATTTTCGGGGTTTGAGGACCTGGTTTGGGGGGTTTGGGGTGTTAGGGCATGTGAGGGTCTTTTCAGGGGGTTTCAGGGTATTTTGGGGTCTTTTGGCGTCTTTCAGGGTCGTTTAGGGTCTTTTAGGTGTTTAAGGTTGTTGTTGTTCTTGCTTTTTTGTTGTTGTGGGGGGGGGGGGGGTTCAGGGTTTAAGGGGGCTTTCGGCCTAAAGGTAGAGTTCTAGCAGCTCAACTTTCGACCAAAAAAGAACCCCAACAGTCCGAAATCCTAAATCAAAAGGCACCCCTAAGCCAGCCACATTGCGATGCAGCTTCCCACCTGAGCCTCCCTGGCCTGCTTTTTAAGGCAGCACTCCGGTACAGAAGCCCGCTTGTGCCTCCCTGGGTGTCTATACGAAAGTTCGGTGCAGTTGCCCACCTGCACCTCTGTGGCCTGCTCATGTTGAGGCAACATTCCGGCACAGTTGCCTGAGGCTTCTCCCTGGCTTCGCTCGAGGCAACATTCCGGTACGGCTGCCCGCCTTTGATCCTCAGTATTGTACGTACTGCGTAAGAGCCGTACTGTCTGCTGTCCTGAGCACGTTGCGTCATATTTTGCCGGCCACTGTGTCGGACCGCTGGAATTCAAGATCGTTAGGGCGTTCAACGGCCCGCGGTCTGTTTTATGACGCTTTATTCGTCTGGGGAGGAAAAAGGAACATCTCAAGACGAAACGAAGAAGCAATCAGGAAGAAAAGAAGGAAAGCCGGTGGACAGACGAACCTCCGCTGCAGGTACCTTCCCAATGCTGCTGGTGCAGAAAGGAATCTCCACATCTTTGGCGTGCGAAATGACAGAACCGGCAGGAGCCGCACATCCATACTACTGGTAACATGCGTTATGGGCTTGCATCGCTGTCGAGGAAAGCACATCGTGATTTTGTTCAGCTTCTCGTGGCACCACCCAGAGGTGCAAATGTTTTTCAAATATGGAAACATTTGACTCGTAGCGGCTGATCAGCATCAGCTAGGAAAGTCCTGCAGTGATGGGTGAAGCAGCACATTTGTGCAACGTTTTGTCTTGAGAACTTTTTGTGTCATTCGTGTTTTTGTTCTTTGTGTGTGTGTGTGTTGTTTTTGTTTTTTGTTTTTTTTTTTTTTTTTTTGGGGGGGGGGGGGTGGGGGGTGGGGTAATGTAACTTTGCACCCGTCGGATCTCACAGGTGCCTCAGCGGAAGCCATCAGGACAACTCACATGTGGACAGCAGCAGGT